ATATTCAACCCTTCAGCCACTATATTAAACAGAAAAGGAGATAGGGAATCACCTTGCCTGAGGCCTCGTTGAGGTGAAAATTCCTCTGTAGGTGAGCCATTCACTAGAACCGATAACTTTGTTGTACCGATACACTCCTTCATCCATGAAACCCACTTAGAGCCAAACCCAAAGTTATGAAGCATCGAAGCCAAGAACTCCCAATTAACAGAATCATAAGCTTTCTCAAAATCAAGTTTAATAATCACGCCTTTTTTTCTTGATTTTTTCCATCCATCTACAATTTCATTAGCAATAAATACGCCATCTAAAACACTTCTCCCCCCTAAGAAAGCAGATTGTGTTTCACCAATAATTGTAGGAAGAACTTTCTTAAGTCTAAGAGCCAAAACCTTAGAGAGAATCTTGTACAAACTACCCACCAAGCTAATGGGTCTAAAGTCTGACAACCCAATAGGATTGTCGGTCTTAGGAATGAGAGTGATAAAGGAGCTGTTAATCCCATACGCAAGTTTGCTCCTGGCATGGAAGTCTCTCAGAAACAACAAAACCTCCTGATGAACTATCTTCCAACATTTCTGGAAAAATAGAAGATTGAAACCATCAGGGCCTGGAGCCTTATCTCCATTACACTCCATAATTGCTGCCCTTACTTCAGCTTCAGAGAAGGTAGCTTCAAGATCCTGATAATTCGAGCTATCTTGAACTGATTTAAACACACCATCTAGCACTGGTCTTCTGGCCCAACTTTCTGAATATAGTCTCTTAAAATGTTGTAACACCTCATACCTTACCGTAGCTGGCTCCTCAATTGTCTCACCTTCAATTGTGATGGAATTAATTGAATTTTTACTCCTTCTGCTGCTGGCCATAATATGGAAGAACCTCGTATTCTTATCCCCATTAATGGTCCAATTCACTCTAGATTTCTGTTGCCATAGCCACTCTACCATTTTACTAAGCTTCCAAACTTCACCCCTCAATTGTCTTCTTCTGGCGATCTCAGCCGCAACCAGTCCTCTATTTTCAGCCACAATATCTAGCTCTACCAAGTCCTCCTCAGCCTTCTTGAGTTTTGTTGCTAAATTTCCAAACACTTCAAGATTCCATTTTTTCAGCTCCACTTTCAGCATTTTCAACTTCTGGAACAGCACATATCCTGCTTTCCCAACAATCCTAGATTCATCCCAAACCTTTGCCACAAAAGAGGAAAAACTTGGATGGCTAGACCATGCATTAATAAACCTAAAAGGCTTAGGTCCCCAATCCCTCTCATCATCCATCAGCATTATAGGACAATGATCAGAGAACAACCTAGGAAGACCCCACTCTTTAAAGTTAAACTTCATGAGCCATTCCGGATTAAGTAGGAAACGGTCAATTCTACTCCATTTTTTCCCATCTTGTGCATTAGACCATGTGAACTTCCTGCCTAATAGAGGAACCTCTTGTGTATGAGCTTTGCCTCCAAGAATGGCTATTTCTAAACCTTTTCTCTCTAAGCTTAAGTATTCACTTACTCTTGTTTTTCATGAGATTCAGTGGGTTTTGGCCATATCTTCGATTGAATCTTTCATTAATTAGTCTTAGCTAGCTTTGTATCTATTAATCGCCATCTCGTTGCTTCACTAATTATCATTTAAATACCCTTAGGATGCTTTGATGATTTGCGAAGCAAACCTACTCTCTTCTCAAGAATTTTTTTCAGGACAAGAGAGAGAATGAAGGATGAACATCCTTTGGAAAACCCCTATTTTTGCTCTGTTCCAGTTCTGTTGTGGCAGATTCTTCCCCAGAACTAGTGGCTGGCCGACCAAAGCTCTGTACGGCTGACCACTGCCCAAGGCCGACCGACCCCATTTTTTATACAGTTATGGTGCTTTTTCAGTGAAACAGAGCAGATCCTAAGGCCCAAAAATGGAGTTTTTTCCAAACTATGAACAGAGCAACTTCTGGTAATGGACAGTGGGGGTTTCTGGAAGATGTTCTTGCCCATACGCATACGATTCCCCGCCTTTCGTTTAACTCCTTTAGATTAGCTCCTTTAATTCATATTTGTAATTAATTAGTTGCTTTCATTAGAACTTGTAAAAATTAATTAGTTAATTCATTTGTGTTTGTAATTAAGTAGTTTATGTAATTAATTAGTTCATTGCTTGTATTGTAATAATAAATAGTTTTCATTCAGGTTTGTAATAGTTAGTTAATTCGGGCATTTGGACTTTCTTGTAAAGAGAGAAAATATGTAACACTTGATGTATGTCTTCCAACCCCCATTTCTTTTTCTTTTTTATTTAGCTGCATACCATTAATTGTGTAGCATCAGATTCTTCTTTCATCACTTCCATGCCTTGCTTCCATTTTTGCATGCATTAGGGTTTGGCTCATTATACTTGATATCATCGATTATTTTTTGCTTAAATACGTGCACTACCGCATGTCTTGAATTGATTCATATGTCATGTTAAGAAGCCGAATCCGATAGTTGCATTTTTGTATGCCTCAATAGTAAATGTTAGCATAATAAAATAAGAACAATAGCATATAATGTCTATAAAAATCACGTCATGATAGGGGTTCTCAATTCATGACATTCCCCTCTCATACCTAAGTTCTCGAACCGAAACACTTTGGTTACGATGGACATGTGGCCTTTGGCACGAGTCATGGGTTTCCTAAATCTCCAAAATTTTAGGTGGCGACTCTGAAATCTGGCAATGCAATCCATTTTTGACATTTCTTGTGATTAATGGATCTTTCTAAAGATTTGCCAAATTTGGACTCTCATTTCTTTTTTTCTATTTCACATTCAGAATCACAGGAATCTGAACTATAGGGCGATCGTATCCGAGGAGACTAAACCCCTCCAAAGAGCACGAAAAACTAGCTACAATGCTTCAACCAGATACGGCATGCATGGGGAGAAAAGTAAAACTACTTTGACTACAAAATGAACATGATTAAGATAGGAAAGATAATTTCTCAAAAACTGGATTATGTAGGCATTATAAACTACCAATATTTAGTGCCTGATATAGATTTTAAAAATGGGTTAAGGCCATTGTGGAATTATAAAGATGTAGTAGATATAGTGAAATTATGTTAACAGCTAGGGTTATTGAGATTTATCTTGAACATCACCCAAAAATTATCATCATTTTATTCATGTCCTTGGTGTTAATGGTATTGAGTCTTACTCAGTTTTGTTTGAATAGATCGATGAAAGAGAAGAAATCTACAAGTTAATGTGTTGGGTGATACAACTGGGTACGATAAGACTGTTGGTGTAGATGGGGTTGATTTTTATAGGGCCATTTTTCAGGCTGAGAATCAAGGGGATGGAGTTGGAGTTAATTTGCAAGGGGCTAGTTTTCAAGCTAAGAATTAGGGTGGGATTGGGGTTGATTTTTAGGATAGGATCGAGATTGATTTGCAGGGTGATAGGACTGGGATTGAGATGCAAGGAGATGAACATGGAAAGGGAAATTGATATGAACATAGTTACTCAAGAAATTAGCACTGAGCATGAGGACATCCCATGTGTCACCTAACACATTAACTTGTTGATTTTCTTCTCTTTTTATTTATTTTTTCAAGCAAATTGAGTGAGACTCGGTACCTCCAACACCAAAGACATGGATAAAATGATGATTGAGTTCTAGGTGATGTTCTAGACATAAATCTCAATAACCTTGTTAGAGCCATTAACATACTTCACCATGTCCGTAAAAGCGTTCTCTCGAGGTTGTTGTGTATTCAATCGGCTTCTCTTCCAACAATAACAGTTCACGAAATCCATTCCAGGAGCTCTTTCTTTTTCCCCTTCTCTGCTACGGAATCTTCTTTTATTTCTTGTTCTTCATTGAAAGAGATTATATATATATATATATAATAGTTATGTACATATATAACTTAGGACTGGTGTTAGTGGTGGGAAAAAGGGTAAAATGACAAGCTTGTCCTTGACTCATCGGTATATACGTGGCACGTGACTGATTTTGAACAACAAATGTGACTTCCATTACAAATTATGGTCGAAACATTTTCTTAAATTGGAGGGTTAATATATCAGGTTTGAAAATTTAAGGACAAAAATGAAACTTAAGTAAAAATACAAGGAGCATTGGTGAAATTTACCTAATTAAACAAATCATACGCCTAGATATCTAATTAATTTAATTTTATGTATAAATAATCTACTTATTGAACCATATAGTTGATTGATTTGAACCAGGACATTTAGCCCAATAATTGTGTAATACTTTTTGCGGTGTAAGGTTTTTGAGTTCAACTTCTATGGAGAATTGCTTGATACTCTTTATGGTGTGTAGTGGTTTTTTCTTGCCAATATGGGGGTTGATTGCATTTAGTTGTTGAGTTTGAGTTTAGGTTTGGTGGATTTCAATTATTGATTGTTAGACTTTTTTAATTATTGTGAGTTAATAGTCTGTTTGATTATATAAATATTTCTCAAAATTATTATTTCTTTGACTTTAAAAAAAAAAAATTAATCAATTTGAATCTTCAAAACAAGCTCGAGATTTGCCAACTGCAACCTAAACTCCAGGTTCGTTTGGCATTGGTTAATATAGTCAACTTTTTTGTATTAGAATTTTTTTAGTCTGGCTTTTTTAGTCTCATTTGGTTTTTGTATTGGGACTTTTTTAACTTTTGTGAGAAAAAAGTATAATGATTATAGGTAAAAAATAATATTTTACCTTATTGATTTTTGTAATTAATTTTACGTTTTTGTGATTATTTAGCCAAAAAAAAAAAATTTGTCAAACCAGGGCTAGTTTGGATAAAATTATAATTGCACAATTACAAACCCCAACAGACTAATATGGCTAATATAATAAAGTCAAATATTGTTTGATTTGACTTTTAGGTTCCCGCGTTTTAAGGGAGGAAGTTTGATTGCATCTTGCCACACAGCAAACCCACGCCTTAACTTTTAACCCTAACCCTAGTTCTCTTATAAGACAGTGGTGTCATAAAAAACTTGGGATTTTGAAGAAGCCAAGCTTTGGGGAGAATGGAGAAGTACTTGAGACAAAACTTCGATGTGGAACCGAAGAGACCCTCGGAAGAAGCTCTAAGGAGATGGAGATCTGCCGTTTTCTTGGTGAAGAACCCTCGCCGCCGCTTCCGCATGGTGGCCGATCTCGCCAAGCGTGCCGAGGGTGAACGCAAGCGCCTGAAAATGCAGGTTTGCAAACTGATTCTGTTTTTCTTTTTCTCTTTCTTACTTTCTTTCTTCATGATCCTTCTTTTTTTCTTTTTCTTTTTTTGCAATAGAATTTATTGATTTGCATTCCTTTTGCTGTTGTTGGTCTAATCTAAAGATGTCTATGGTTGGTTGGTTGATTGGTTGATTTATGGATTGGGGTTTGGGTTCAATGATAATGTGTTGAGAGAGTTTTCTTAGTAAAAGAGACGTGTAGTATACAATATGAGAAAAGTTAGGAATCATGAAAATTTTTTCATGAAAATGATCATGAAAGATTTATGATTTTTGAATTACTTGATTAGTGTGTGGTGCTTTATTCTAAGTGTAATTCAAGAGTCATAAAGCTTTCATGATTATTTTCATAAAAGATTTTTCATCATACCTAATATTACTGATACAATATTTGGTAAGAAGTTTCTTGAGAGACAAGCCAAGTGAAAGCCATAAACGTGCATATCACATTCTCAGAACCAGCAATACAATAGAATACAATATTACACGACAGTCCTATATCATGTAAACATGGTTTGAGTTGCAAAATTTTAATTTGGACGACTGCTTCAACAATTCTATTCCTTGTGTTGTTGGTTGTGTTTGTTGGGATACCTCTTAGATATTAGATTAGATCTGGCGAACATAAGACCTAGTCTCTCAAACTAATAATTTTCTCCTCTTTACGCTTCTATATCGTATATACCTTTCTTTATTATATATATGTTTTTCTATATGTTAATGGTTTTGTTATAAATATTATCATATATTTTATTTTTATTTTTTGTATAATTACAACAATTTATGATTCTTAAATGATGTTACACATTATTTTTATTGTTATGTATTTTTTTTATAAAGCTAAAAATTTTATGATTTAAATTTTTTTTTTTTTTGAGAAAATGTGTAATTTTAATATTTATCACAAAAGTGAATAATATGTACCCAAAAAAATGCATAATGAAATGTTTATCATACACTTTTTACGAGTGTATACTGAAAAAAAAATTCTGTTAGGTTTAGCAAGAGAAGTTTCACATATACAGAATTAAAAATTTAAAAAATAATAATAATAAAATATACACCACTGTGGCAACCTTGAACCACCTCTGGTTAAAACAAAGTAACGTATGAGAATATTTGAATTTTTTTTTTTTTTTAAAATTCTTTATGGTATGTAGGAATTCCAATATAAGAATGCCGCTGATTTTGCTAAATGAAGACAAAGAAAGGAATGTCTATTACATCCCTTTGTAGCAACTTTCAATCATTCGTTTTTTTGATGGCCGTTATATGTTATTTTGTTTCTTTATTTTTTAATTGTGATATATTTTATTCTAAATTTTGAATCTAAAGACAATCAAAAATGTTTCTTTTGTAAATAATCTATTTCAAATGTAAATTCATTATACAACTTATTTTGTGTTGATTAACTTATATATTATTTGAAATATAATGCCTTTTTTTTAATGAATAACGTTAGAACTTCCTTGGTTATAAAGCTCTGTTTGGTTTGGTTTTCATAATCTATTTTTAGAAAAAATTTCTAAGAAACTAAAACTTAAATTGGTGATTAAAATTAAAAACACAACATTTTTATACAATTTTATCTTTGAGAGGGTAGAAATAATTTTTTTATATTTATTTTCGTTAAATTAGTTTCTATCTTTTTAAAAATCAAACATTACGACAATTTTGGTTTCATTATTAAACCAATTCATAAATCAAAGAATTGAAAATTAAAAATATTTCATATATTAAACATATCGATTATATATTAAAGTTTAATAATCATCAATTACATGATAACCATCTAAAAATATGTGTTAACAACAAATACAACCATCTATTACATGATAACCATCCACTGGAGGTTTGCCCGGTCGTTAACTTCAGGGCCCTGAGATTAGTCGAGGTGCGCGAAAGCTGGCCCGGACACTCAGTTATCAAAAAAAAACCATCCAAAAATATCAACAAAAATAATCATCTATTATATGATCATCTTCCAAACACATACTAAAAATTAATTTAGTAAAAAAATAAATAAATAAATAAAATGTAAAAGAGTTATCATTTTTATAAAATTTTATCTTTGGTGAGTAGAAATAATTTTTAAAAATTCAAAAATAATATTTTGACACTTATTTTTATCGAACTAGTTTATATTTTATTAAATTGACAACTCTGCCTTTGAAATTGAGCAATAGTGTCTTTAATTATCTTTATTTGAAATGAGTTTCAAATTTCAAAATCAAATGTATCACAATTGAAAGATTAGATATCAAAGTGATACAAATCTCAAATTATAAGAACCATTAGTATAATTCGTGTTTTTTTTTCCATTTCAACATTCATAACTCCTCAATTATAAACTACATATAACTGCTTCAATTTTAATTTTTATTATTATTACTAATTTAGCTCACACATTTTTGTGCCTCTCATTCTATTAAGAATTTTCCATTTTTTTCCCTACGAATCTCATCATAAGAGTATAATCCATATGTGTTTACATGGCTAAGTGCTTATGTGGAGTGAAATTGAATTGTGTATATGGTAGAGAAATATATAGAATTGTTGTAGTCGACTGTGTGAGTCAAGTTACGAGCACATATGAGTTAATGTGCTAAATTATTTCTCTTGTGTTCTTTCTTAGGATGTCAGGAAGGGGTGAAGTCCATGGTGGTAGAGGTGGGAGGTGTGGTAGGGCTCGCCGAGGTGTGCATGAGGGACCAATCCATAGGGTTCCGGTGCAAGAAGAAGGGTTTGACCAAGCTAATATAGCCGAGCAAGCAGGCCAAGCTAATATGGCCAAGCAGGTGGGACAAGCGGGTCAAACCGCAATGGGGGGCCCTAGCCAAAGAAATGGCGAGGGCTTGGAGGGAGTCTACAAACTTGTTGAGGGCGGAGAATCAAGCCCGAGAGAACACCGCAGAGTCAAGGGCGAGTTTTCTCACTAGAGAGTTTTTACGAGGCAAACCAGATGAATTCCATGGTGACCCCGAGCCTAAGAAAGCGGATGAATGGCTCGAACAAACAGTGAAGACATTTGAGATGCTTCACATTGATGATAGCGAGTTGAGAGTGACTCTAGCGTGTTACTACCTTAAAAGAGATGCGGGTCAATGGTGGAAAAATGACAAGAGTAAGGGGGTGCCATAAAATAAAGTCTTTGTGATTGCTTTC